AACAAGAGATATTTTTGCGTGGTTTACTATATTTTTGCCCTATTTTATAAAGTATGTATTCTTGCATTGATGATATCTGGCATGTCGGTACAGGTGAAGGCTTAGCACAGGTTCATCGAGGTCACAGGACGGTGAGCTGAGGGCTTCTTCGTACAATCCAATAGTCTTCACTCCATGGCAATCCCCCTTTGGTTTTCTGTTAGACGATTTCACGAATTACTTCCAACCAACTTTTCCTTCGAAATGGAAGGTCATATCACATTTTAGCACAAGTTACTTACAACTATTTGTATAGTTCACTTTTGTTTTGGCTTTAATAGCGTTGACTTTTGAGAGTACATTATAGGAAATATTCGTGAGTTGACCATGCGAGAAGACGAGAACAGTTTCCCTTGGCTCGCTGTTTGGTTTTCCTAGTTTATTCAGATTGAAGCACTACTCTAGATGCATTGCCTCGTTTCTGGCGAAAACTCACTAAGCCTCATTTTGTTATGACAGATAACAGGTACAATCGGGGCTAGGACGCAGTCTTTGGCAACCTCAGGCCTTAGGCCAGTCAACTAAACCAAATATCTAATTCTCTTGCACTACGTGAACTTATTCAGCAGCCTAGGAAAAGGGAATTATAGAAAGTTTTCGATTGTTTCTTGTCATTTATCTATCCATATTAATAAACGTGAGTGTTCGCTTTTGTCTATATACCAGCAGGTGATAGTTCCAAGTGAACAGACTTCCTTGAGACCGTCAATTGCACTGCAGATGGCTCATCAAGGCTTTATTGATGGGTTTTTGTGATAATAAATTTGGTAGAGGTATAAGCCCCAGCCGTCTTTAAGTTGTAAAAAGCCTCGGATAACATCGAAAATTCTTTCCTTTCTTGACGCCGAATGATGCAATTTTAGCTTTTGCAATCATCCAGCAGTATATTCACAATAAACATACATATGTGATTATGACTTTGAATATGTATCGGGTTTATGCAATTTTTTGTACGAAGGCATATTCCATTGCTGACATAAAAATCGCCAAGTACATTTTAATTTATGTTATATTCTAATATACATTATTGTATAAAACGAACAAGTTAGCTCTGATATTATTGATTTGTCCTCATAGTAAGGCTAAATCTAGTCTTTCAGTCTGAAAAGCTTTGGAACTAATAGTAGTTGATTAATTTATCCTTTTCCCGAGTGGAGATTACGACTAATACAGATGGCGGCACATCTTCAATTAAACACTAATTATTATTTTGGCTAATTGTTCATGAATAACTTGCGACTCGTTATGCTTTGTCGTAATATGGTGGCCTATATTTGGACAGATATATTTCGAGGGTTATATAGGAGGTTATTTAGATAAGAAATCAAAGCGCCCTGTTTACGACTAGGATGTAGCACGGTTTATTCATCAAGATTTCTAATGAAAATGGGCTAAGCTCTCGTCCTTCGTATAAAAGGCCTCATCAGAGCTGGAGATTATTTCTGCATAAGCTTCAAGTTAAGAAGACCTGACTTAGTATTAGTTTAAAGCTTTTGCAAGGATGATTTTCGGCCGAGATTATGTCTGTCCAGTGGTATGACTGACGAGATCTCAAATTGGTTTCATTGAAAACTATAGAGAATGCTTCGTGAACTGCGGCAAACTAACGTCATAATAAAGCCAAACGGCTACAGAAGAGCGGAAATAAACTTCTGTCTTAAGTTGAGATCGAAACTTTCATTAAAACTGAAAGTATTTAAAATGATATTATCTTAAGAAGTTCATTTAAACTCACTTACACCTTATACAATGGGATATTTATATGTGTAAACTTGTGTATTCCTCCAACCTATTTGTTGTATTTAATTCTATTATCTGACGTCATGGCCCAATCTACTCACTACGGCGTAACAATGCCTAATGTCCGACTGAACAGGAAATATAAAATTAGCAACCTTTTAAAACTTCAACTCCACAAGTCTGGCAGTTCAAGGATCTATTTGGATTTGCGTGATTGTCAGGCCTGTTGGTTACGCTTTAGAGAGAAAATGTTTTAATCCGTTTGATCAGCCCGGAATGTTGGGACGTCTGCCAACACGTTGGGAATCCAATGGGAAAAAGTAGTTTGTTGAGAAATGTGGAAACAAAGCAAATTCTTCTCATAATCACTGACACGTGAGGTTGTACATTCAGCCACGATTCAGGCCTTGCGTTGAGCCAAGTTGGCGATTATTGAATTATTTGCAGGTAATTGACAACACAATCGTTTCAGTTTGAGGCGAATTTTTACTATTTCTCTTAACAATTGTAGATTATAAGGCCCTTTCGATCGGCCTGGCCTAACGATGAGTCAAGCTGTTCGCCTCTATCCTGTACTAGCCTACTCCACTTATTCTGTCCTCTTACCTTCATCCTAACATGCCTCTTCCGCAGCATTCGCTTCACCAGCTTGAGTCTGTAGACCGGCCACACTTCACCAAACCCACAAAACCAACTGTCGAGACCGACGTCTGCTTTCCGCCTCCGACCAGTTACGAAAACCCAAACGAGTGCCCATTTTCACCTGTCGCCCGGCAAACGGTGCTGGCGCCGTCCAACCTGCTGGCCACAGCGGTACCAAGTCAGAGTCTTGCGGGCCTCGGCTGTAGAGGGGAACTGCTCACTTTCCTGGAACATGATCTGGCTGGCTCAAGCCTCGACGATCTCAGCTGCTGCGAGCCCGGCCTCGCTGGCTGGTATGCGAGTCAGCCAAGACCCGAGCGTCGTCATCGGGCCACGGGTCCCCTGGCAGACGGAC